AGGTGGAACTGAAGTTGAGATCTCTGGCATCCGTTGGCAGACGATTTCGGGAGGACATGCATTGGATGCACTCATTAAAGCTGTCCGCCCGTATCAGTCAAGCAAGTCTGGATCTTGAGGAAACTGCAACGTGGTCTCGACCTCGGCCAAGGAGCCCCCCTCACCTGCGATTGCGAAACATCAGCGAACGGCAGAAGCACGAGATCCAGGCGAATGCAGCTCTACCGTCTCCCCCAAAATCTCGCCATGGAGAAGGAGCCGCTGTCTGAACCGCGGCACCAGGCCGTGCAGCCGACTCAAGCGCTGCTTTAAGCCCCTGATGTCGCAGAGTTCCTTCAACTCTTCTGCAAGTATGCTCGTCGCCAATTCTCCGGAAAACATGCCCCCGCGCAACATGTTGAAGGAACTTCAACCTGTAGCTAGTCTACAGCTCCCTTAACTCTGAGCAAAACTGCTGCTGTTGCTCCTGCTGCCGCTGCTATTGCGACTACTGCTACTGCTACTGCTACTGCTACTGCTACTGCTACTGCTACTGCTACTGCTACTGCTACTGCTACTACTGCTACTGCTGCTGCTGCTGCTGCTGCTACTGCTACTAATGCTACTACTGCTACTAATGCTACTAATGCTACTAATGCTACTAATGCTACTACTGCTACTACTGCTGCTACTACTACTACTACTACTACTACTACTGCTACTACTACTACTACTACTACTACTGCTGCTAGCCTGAACCGTCTCCACGAGATACCAGCTGCGGTCGGCATAACAGGCGCCTGCTGCTTGCATTCGATGGTGCGCTCACCGTTGGATTTTCGAGACAGACGGGGCAAACGCTGTTAAGGTGCAAAGCTAAAGATGGATAAGGATCGTGGTAAGCCGCTGTAAAGACCGTGTACAACGAAGATCGTTGAGCAACCATATACAGCCGGTGTAGTTGGCAGGAGGGTGCCTACTTATTGCAAGGAACGACGACTACAGAATGTCCTAACTACTGCTGCTACAACTTCTGACGACCACTGCGCGTAATTGTGCATATATATATATATGTATATATATATATATATGTATCATATATATATATAATATATAGTCTATGTAGAGACGATACATCAGTTCCTGATTATTCAGACCCTGCATTAAACTCCTAAAGCCCAAACAAAATCCCCACCTCTTCGCAATCACAAGTCGCTATATAGAACCCTTACAGAACCCTCGTGGAGCCCTAAACCCGAACTCTTAAACCTTAGATCCTGAACCCTCAACACTATAAGATCCCTATACCCTAATCCCTATAATCCCTAAACCCCAAACCCCAAACCAAAGACCCTACAAACCCTCATCCCTAAATCCCCAAATCCTGCGAATTTCCCCCCGCCCTTCCCCCTAAACCCTATAAACCCTAAACCCTAAACCCTAAACCCTCCTCCCCCCAATTTCGGCCCCAGAAACGAGGCGCTGGACGTGCTCCAAAGCCAGGGCGAGGATGCCCTGGGAGCTCGAAGGATCCTCCTCACCGAGCCTCAAGGGGGTCTAGGGTTTAGGGGTTTAGGGTTTAGGGGTTTAGGGTTTTAGGGGTTTAGGGTCTAGGGTTTAGGGTTTAGGGTTTAGGGTCTAGGGTTTAGGGTTTAGGGTTTAGGGTTTATAGTGTTTTGCATTTAGTTCGGGAGTTGGGGTCTTAAAGAAATGGAGTTTAGGGTTTCGGGTTTAGGGTTTATAGTGCACCAACTAATCCGATTCCCACTTTGCTTCTCCCTTGCAGATTCTCGATGCCAGTATGTCATTTCGGGGCCTTAAGAATCAGAATAGGTTTCCACCCAGGGTACTCACTTCCACATGCGGCTCGGGGACGTCCAGTTCATCCGTCGCTCTGTCAAGGCCCTTTGGAGCAGCGCCCTGGCGGTCCTTCAGAAAGCTTGGCTGCAGCTGCGTGTAATATGCGGGCATTCATAACTGGAATAGGGTTTTGGGGGATATTGTTCTACAGTCATAGTAGGGATCCCTAAGGCATAATCTTCAGACTTCTATATTAAGCTGAATAGCATGTCTTCAGCCCTGTCAGTGGGCGAGTAACATGATGAGCGGCAGCTTTAAGGGCAGAGGAGGAACACAGCCGCTGACAGATGACAGACATGGCACCATCGCGGGGATGCCAGTGGAGGGACAGACAGGCAGCAAAAACAATGCAAGTTGCCTGTGATTGCAAGGATCCAGAGCCAAATCTACGAGAGCTTTAACACGATGCTTCTGGGTGGTACGAGCGGTATACTGAAAAACCTGAAGCATTCAGCCACGGGATCCAATGAAGGCGTCTGGCGGCACCAAGGTCCTAGGCAAGGCACACTGTGAGGTCCGACACCCGTGGAACAACAAGGGCTTCTGGTGATAGTCTAGAGACTGCAGTTATAATACAGTATAATATAGTGTATTGTATTGCAATATAGTATAATATAAGCTGGCACAAGGCCGGGCTTCAAAGAAGAACTCCTTGCGCCCAAAAAGTTCAGCTTCAAAGCTGCGGCGCAGTGCAACAGAGCAGCCAAGTCGAAGAGCGTCTCCGCTTTGATCAGCACGGCCAGGAGGGTGGCCGGCAGGCACTGAGAGAGGCTGTGCCCGAAGTTCGCCATGATCTGCAAACAAAGCATCTCGGAAAGAGCCCGCATACGACGTGGCACGCAAGACTCTGCGGTGCTAGGATAAACCTGGGAGGTAAACTCACCCTACAAGCCAGGACCCTCCTTGTACCCTCAAATAGGGGTAAAGGGTCCCAAATAAGGGCTACTTAGGGTCTTGTAGAGGGTAGATGGAGGGTCTAGGACTACTTCCGAATTTCCTAGACTTCACGTCGAAGATGCTCATCACGAGAAGGACTCTCTTTGAGGGTTGGGGCCGGAACTGGGGCCCGAGCTTTCAAAAGCCTATGAACCCATCAGGGTTTCCAACAAAAAGTTAGAGTCTCTTAGAGTATGTCATAGAGCATGTCATAGTTTATCATGGTATATCATAGTATGTTCGAGTAGATCTTACATGAGATAATACGGATTTGTAAGAATCACGACGATGCCGAGAAAAGGACAACGATAGGTTTCATCATCATGATTGTCACTTGTCGTTACGATTCCGTCCATCCGTGACTGAGGCCCCGAACCCAGGCCGTTCACCACAACTCTTCCACCCATGGTGCCTGCGAGAGAATTGCGACCATCTCGACTCCCCACTCGCCTCAGAGCGCAGGCAATGTACGTTGCAATACCGGCAAGGGTTACGTGTGGATCAGCTCTGACAACGGGCCCACCACGGGAACATCGGGCAACCAGCCAAAGGGCATCATGGCATCTCAGCGTCGGAACAGCTCATACTTATTTGCGAAAGGGATGAAGACTTCAGTTCCCATGAACTCTAAAACCCTAAAGCCGAAGGCACCGTAGTCTGTTCAGGGACTGAGACGAGAATCGAGTTTCGTAGTAGAGGCGCGCCCCGTGCATAAAGCTTCGGAATCCCATGGCGCTCCAGCGCCTCGCGAGCTCGTGCCTCCGGCTGTGGGCTTGTAATTCAGGAGCATGAATGATCGGAACAGGGCGGAGCACGGTTCCTTCAGGCTTCTAAAGGGGGCTTTATAGGGTTTAGGATTTAGGGGCATTCATGAGTGGAATTCTATAAGGTTTTTGAGAGGTTTGAAGGGGTTTTATAGGGTTTAACTTGGAGGCCTGACTGACCAGAACAGAGTTTGGGGTGCTTACGACGCGAGGGCGCAGTGCTACAAAGCCCACAATACGCTACAAAGGCATTTGCCGGGTCGAGCTCTCACACAACACACCCGAAAACTTCAAAAGAACAGTTCAACTAGAATCAAAGCCACAAACATTGGTCAACAAATCCGTTGGCCTCCAAATCGCACGGCGGCAAACGCCAAACCCACCCCGAGATCCACTCAAATTCGAAAAGACCCAAAGACCTCGAGCTTGAGGCACTCCAGACGCTAAACCTAAACCCTCAAACCCAAACAAAATCCGAGTACAAGCTGATTCTGAACCCTGAACCAATGAAGCGCGAAACCCTGAAACCTATAAATCCTAAATTCATCCATAAAGTTCTGAACAAGATCCTTGTCTGCAAACCGGAAACCTAGAAGACCCTAGTCCTCAAACCACATAGCATCAAACTCCATAAACCCAGAACGCTGCGCCACTAATCTCCCAAAACCCTCCGTCCAAAGCCCTGAATCCCTACAAGCCCTTCCGCAGAACCCTATAACCGGCCTTCTTAAACCTCTAAACCCTCGACTCCCCGCAAGCCTAACTCGCTGCGTACGATCCGCAGCTTCCTCATCGGACCCTCGCAGACCCATGCGCTCCTGTCCACGGTTCACCCCCACCCCCAAACCAATGCTACATGAGACGGAAGCTGAATGCATTGGTTTCCACATGGCCTGACGCACTCCACGTCCTGTCGATCCTTCAAATGGTAGGAGGTCCTGACGCATGTGGAGTGTGTGCGACATAGTGAGCTCGGGTTTAGAATGGAGACTTCACATAATTACACGCCTGCACCCTTCCGTCCCAGAATCTACTACTCCATCCGTCCATCCTTCCATGCGCCTATCCGTCCATTAACCCATGCATGCATCTATCTATCAAATCAGCCACCCAGTCATCCATCTAGCCATACACGCCTTGCGCATACATGCACACATGCATACATGCATAAAT